CGCTTACTCTCTAAAAAATTGATGAAATTTTCTTAATTAAATGTCATACTAAAAATAATTTTTCACGAAATTGTCGATTTCATCAATATGCCATAATATAAATGTTGGAGGAATTTTGTGAATAGTGACGCCAAAATAAGTATAATGATGGTTTGTAAATCCGTGCCGAAAATTGGACAGAGTAACAGTAAAGAAAACACGAACAAGAAGAAGAAGAAAGTAGGGACAAAGTCGAGGCAAGAGTTGGACTCTTTGTCCTTAAATCGAATTTGCCCCGCAACGGTGCCTACGGATTTCGGCAATCGACTCCCAAGATACAACGGCTACACTTGTGTTTGTAGCACTCAAAAACACAAGTACAACGAACCAAATTTAGGTTTATGTACTCCAAGGATGAAATGAAGAAAAATCTCAATTTGTTGACTATATATGCTATATCCAGTCTTGTGCAGTTGGTAATATACATTAAACTACCAATGACACGCGAATATTCCAATTGAGATACGGGCTCACCAGTATTCTTGGCTAAGTAAATACCTAAGTCAACTGGTGACTTAACCGGTTTATCGTCATACGCCTTAAATTTCTTAAGTATAGTCTCAACATAATGTGATTGAGACAATGACAAACCATCGGATGTCTTAGAGATTTTAATCCCTAATATTACATTCGCCACTCCCATATCCTTCATGTCAAAATGTTTTGTTAACATTTTCTTAGTCGAGGAAATGACTTTGGAGTTATTTCCCATAATTAGCATATCGTCAACATATAGACATATGATTACATATTCATTAGGTGCGTTTTTAATGTAGACACATTTGTCACATTCATTGATTTTGAAGCCATTTGACAACATAGTTTTATCAAACTTTTCATGCCATTGCTTCGGTGCTTGTTTCAATCCATACAGTGATTTTACAAGTCTACACACCTTCTTTTCATTTCCTGGTGCAACAAACCCTTCAGGTTGTTCCATATAGATTTCTTCTTCTAATTCACCATTTAGAAACGCGGTTTTAACATCCATTTGATGTATTTCAAGATTATGCAATGCTGCGATTGCAATCAAGACACGTATAGACGTAATTCTTGTAACGGGTGAATAGGTATCAAAGAAATCTAGTCCTTCTTCTTGTCTATACCCTTTGGCTACTATTCTAGCCTTGTATTTATCAATTGATCCATCCGACTTTAATTTCTTTTTGAAAATCCATTTACAGCCTAAAGCTTTGTTTCCCGGAGGGAGTTCAACCAATTCCCAAGTATAGTTACTCATGATGGATTCAATTTCATTGTGTACAGCTTCTTTCCAAAAAGGAGTTTCGGGAGAGGACATTGCTTCATCAAATGTCCTAGGATCATTTTCAAGTAAATTGGTTACGAATTCTGGACCGAATGTCTTTGGAATTCGTTGCATTTTACTACGTCTCGGTTCTTCATTTACTTGAAGATCATCATTCTTTCCATGTATGTTATCATAAGTTCGTTTATTTGAACTTACTTCCTTTTCTTTACACGGAAAACTGTCTTCAAAGAAAACCGCATTTCTTGATTCAATAATTGTACCTACGTGTACATCAAGTACTTCGGATTTGTGAACCAAGAATCGATATACACTACTATTGATAGCATATCCAATAAAGACACAATCAATTGTCTTTGGTCCAATCCTAACTTGTTTAGGTTTGGGTATTTGTACTTTCGCTAAGCACCCCCACACTTTGAGATATTTGTAGGAAGGTTTCCGACCTTTCCATAATTCGTAAGGTGATTCAACCTTATCTTTGTGTGGTATTTTATTAAGGATATGACTTGCAGAAAGTATGGCTTCCCCCCACAAGTTTTGAGGTAAGCCCGAACTAATCAATATTGCATTCATCATTTCCTTTAACGTTCGATTTTTGCGTTCAGCAATTCCATTAAATTGTGGTGAATATGGTGCCGTTGTTTGATTAATTATTCCAGATTCTGCACAAAATTCTTCAAACGGTGCAACATATTCTCCACCTCTATCACTACGAATCATTTTAATTCGTTTTCCAAGTTGATTTTCAACTTCTTTTTTGTAGTGTTTAAACACTTCCAAAGCTTCATCTTTGCTTTTCAACAAGTACACATAACAGTACCTTGTACAATCATCTATGAATGTGATGAAGTACTTTTTACCACCCCTTGTTTGTATGAACTTCAAATCACACACATCCGTGTGAATTAGTTCTAATGGTGTGGTGTTTCGTTCAACCGAATGAAATGGTGTTTTGGCCGCTTTTGCCTCTACACATGTTTCGCATTTTCCATTATTAAAATGCATATTCGGAAGTAAACTTAAATTCATTAACTTTCGTATTGAATTAAAGTTTGCATGTCCTAATCTATGATGCCATAGATTACATGACTCAAGAATATAAACTGAAGACGACGTTTTATTGATTGTAACATTTGGCACAACAGTTAGGGCATTCATTTTGAATAGTCCATCTTTTACATAGCCTTTGCCTACATACATATCATTTTTGGTAAGTACAAACTTATCCGATACAAAGACCAGTTTAAAGCCATTCTTGCTTAACAAAGAGCCCGACACAAGGTTCTTGCGAATATCCGGTACGTGAAGGACATTATTGAGGCTAAGTTCTTTTCCCGACGTCATCTTCAAGACCACTTTGCCTTGTCCTTCCACTTTGGATGTTGAGGAGTTCCTTATAAACAATTTTTCTCCCTCAGTTGGAGTGTATGATGTGAACATTCCTCTATCGGCACAAATGTGACGGGTTGCACCCGTATCAACCCACCATTCCATGGGATTTCCAACAAGGTTGCATTCAGAAACAACTACCGATAAATTCATATCGGACATGCCATTTGATATGGCATCAGATTCGACAATGTTGGCTTGGGATTGCTTCTTAGGTTTGCGACAATCAATCGAGCGATGTCCAGCCTTTCCACAATTGTAGCAATTGCCCTTGAACTTCTTTGCATTCTTCTTTATAGATTCAACGGAATGCTTTCTCTTCTTTCCTTTGTTGTTGCTAGATTCTACCACATTTGCCTTTGCTTGTGGTATGTTATTCCCAACTCGTTTTTCCGAACTTCGGTTGTCTTCTTCAATCCTCAATCGGACCACAAGTTCTTCAATGTTCATCTCCTTGCGCTTGTGCTTGAGATAGTTTTTGAAGTCCCTCCACATGGGTAGAAGTTTCTCGATAATTGTAGCCATTTGAAATGATTCACTCATGGACATATTTTCCGCATGAATGTCATGGAGTATGACTTGCAATTCTTGCACTTGACTGATGACGGTCTTCGAATCTACCATTTTGTAGTCCAAGAATTTTCCCACAATGAACTTCTTGGTTCCGGCATCTTCGGTCTTGTACTTCTTTTTCAAGGACTCCCATAATTCCTTTGCAGATTTCTTGTAGCAATATACACCGTATAAGGCGTTGTCCAAGCCATTAAGAATGTAATTCTTGCATAGGAAGTTCGAATGTTTCCATGCATCCAAAGCAATCAAAGATGCCCTATTATTTTTCCCTTCTTGTATGGCGGGAGGATCTTCATTCAAGAATTTCGCCAAGTTGAGGGTTGTGAGATAAAACAACATTTTTTGTTGCCACCTTTTGAAATCAACCCCAACAAATTTATCCGGCTTTTCCCCATGTGAAACAGAGTTTGAATGTACGATAGTAGGGGCACCCACAACCGGAGGAATCACATTAGTAGTAGTTGTATTCACAACGGGAGGAATCACACTGGTAGGAACACTTCCTTTAGAAGTTCCCATGTTCGAAGTTTCATTCGAAGTAGTATCGGTATTAAGAACCGTATTCATTTCTATTTACGTAAAAAAGAAGATCAACCGAAAATAGAGGTGAAGAAGAAGTTAAACTTAACAAGTTTAACCAAATAAGAATATCACTTTCACAAAATATATATAGATTCGACTTAAGATTGTTGGAGGAATTTTGTGAATAGTGACGCCAAAATAAGTATAATGATGGTTTGTAAATCCGTGCTGAAAATTGGATAGAGTAACGGCAAAGAAAACACGAACAAGAAGAAGAAGAAAGTAGGGACAAAGTCGAGGCAAGAGTTAGACTCTTTGTCCTTAAGTCGAATTTGCCCCGCAACGGTGCCTACGGATTTCGGCAATCGACTCCCAAGATACAACGGCTACACTTGTGTTTGTAGCACTCCAAAACACAAGTATAACGAACCAAATTTAGGCTTATGTACTCCAAGAATGAAATGAAGGAAAATCAAAATAAATGAAATGATTTTGATTTTGGATAGAAGAGAGGATGAGAGATGCTTTGCATATAAAAATTATGAGGAATAGGACACCAAATGGTCCTATTTATAGACCATGAAAGGGTGTGGACGAAATGGATGAGGCCAAACCATGCACACTTTCCAAACAATGCACCTTTATGAAAAGGTATCTATTGACTAATGGTTGAGGCCAAACCATGCACCATTTCCAAACAATGCACCTTTATGAAAATGTGTCTATTCACTGATTTTCGTCCTTTTTCGTAATTTCTCATTCATCCGATATTGGTTTTCGAAATGCCAAATATCCCCGTTTGTGCGCCCCGAAACGGCGAAGTGGCAAACAATTTTGTCTAAACGGATTGAGTCGAGCTTTTGAATATTTGACCGAAGTCGATACGAAGTCACTTTAATCGATTTTCAATTCTCAATTTATTTAACCAATATCCAACAATAAATATGTTAAAGTAGATAAAGAGAAATTTATTATTTGTCACGTATCGATAAATCAATCACATAATCAATTAATCGGGCAACAACAAAAAATGAAAAGTACAACACTGTCAAGGTTGAAAATTAAGTAAATTAAACATTATTGCGTAAATAAATTCTCAATAATTTAATTGACTAAAACTTAAATCAAACACGTCCTTATTCTTGCTCAGTTATCTTAAATAGATAAATAATAAAAGTCATAAACAAATTCTGTATTAATTGAATTCAATTCCATTTCCACGTGCAGAAAACACAAAACAAGAAAAGCATATACCTAACCCCACCGCGTTAATTGGCGGTGTCATTTCTTTCTCACCCAAGAATTCTTCCCAGTCCATTTTCAGCTTTTATCCACCGCCTCCACCCACCCTTCTCACCCTTCTCCACGGCCGCAACCGATTAACACCACCGGAAATTGTAAAAATTCAATCCCAGCAAAACCCGTAGCTCTTTTGGTCATTTTTTTTAATCCAAGAAAAGCATAATTACTTCAAAACTGCTGTGAAACTGAAAACAATCACCAAAATTGTAAAAATCACAGGAAAATTCTTGATTCTTTTGGTCATTTCGACTGATATCAATGATGAATTGTGAGAGTAACGAAGTGGAATCGGAATACTCGATGAAGATGCCGGAAAATAACAAGAATTCTTCGATCACCAAAAAAAGCTCGAGCGAAACCACCGAAAAACCGCTCCACCGCCTCTACAGCTCAAAGGTCTTCCAGCGCCAAGATTCCATCAAGAATCTGTACAGTTCATCCTTCAAATCCATGGTTTCCGTCGGAATTTCGTTCAAGAGCAGAGTCAGAAAAGTCTGCTCCATTTTTGAATCCACAAAACACCCACCAAATACACAATCCCTTACAAAATCCCCCAAATTATTATTACCTGCAGATTCCAATTTTATCCCTTACCCGATTTCGGATTCTCCTTTCCGTCTCCCGGGCACCGAGGACAGAGTCGTCGTTTATTTCACCAGCCTTCGTGGGATTCGAAGAACGTTCCAAGACTGCCATGATATTCGAATGATTTTTAAAGGCTTTCGCGTCCGCCTGGACGAAAGGGACATTTCAATGGATGCAACGTACAGGAGGGAATTACAGAAAGTATTGGGAGAAAGCAATGTGAGTTTGCCACAAATTTTTATAAAGGGAAAGTACATTGGAGGAGGTGACGTTGTAAAACAGCTGCTGGAAGGAGGTGAGCTCGTGATAATGATCAAAGGACTCCCTTTAATGGCGCCAAAGCCTTGTGAGGCGTGCGATGATGTACGGTTTGTTCTGTGCACAAACTGCAATGGCAGTCAGAAGTTTTTTGATGAGGAGATGAAGAGGTGTCCGGAGTGCAACGAGAACGGGCTCGTGCGTTGTCCACTTTGCTGCGAATGAGTGTTGAAATGAATCAACAAAAACCCATTTTGGTAAAACTGTGTGATTGTTTTATGCGGGAATTGCTTGTGTATATACTATACAATGCTTGAGCATTATAAATTTTCGAATTATTTGGTTGTCTTTCACTTCGATGCTAAACATTGATGTACATTTTTAAGTGTCCAACTTTTTATTTGGAGAAAGAAACGAGGAAATAGAGATTGCAGTCAAATTCTTGTGTAATTGGGATTTGGCTTTGCAACGAGTTTGGTCTGAATTAAAACTTGCTTTTATCGTTCTTATTCAGACTGTAAGCGTATCTCTGTGGCAAGTAAAATGGGGATGAAGTGAAGAATTAGAGGACGCAGATAAAGATTGAAAATAAATTATAAAAAATTAAATAGACATGATTTTCAATGAAGATATATAATAAAAAATTCAATGGAGGATGTTAATACATCTTTCATAGGTGTAAGGTGTGTTTGAGATTCTTCATTTTTTTATCAAATAAGCATTCTAGATGACGTGATACTTTGTGATGAACCACTTTATATTGAAGATTCTAATATCAACTTATGATCCAAAAAAAAAGCAACTTGTAGGAGGTTCGTCTCTTTCTTCGAGTTTTTGGAGGAAAGATGCCATGCTGATAATAATGAGTGAGAAAAATTGAAACGACCTTTGGACTTCATTTGTAGAGCAAGGACTATTGTTCCGATGAACAATTGAACACTTGCAAAAAATATGTCTGGGCTTTTTCCCTCTTTGTACTTTTGACGTGAGAATTAGTAATGGGGTTTTGAAAAAAAAAATGATCTAAGAAAATAGAGAAAAGTTATGTTGCAAAAAAAAGTCGACCCCGGTACCTGACACGTCTTTGAAGTATTTATAAGTATTTGATATAGTGTAATCGTTAGATAGTTACTGTCCATTTGTCATAGTATGTCCATTCACTAGAAAATTTTCGCCTAAACACATGAGTAGACGATTCCCACTCACTAGACGGTTAGTGGGATCAATGATACCCTTCAATTAGTTAACCAATCAACTGAAAAAAAAAAAATATTTAGATAATTGACAGTCATGATAATTGATCTATTATAGCAAGAATCGTCTAATATAACGAAATTCAGGATAGCATAGTGGTAGTTGGTCTACCATAGTGGTAGTCGGACTAGCATAACGATAGTCAATCTACCATAATGAAATTCAAGATAGCATATCGGTAGTTGACCTACTACAGTGATAGTCGAGGTATAATAGTGGTAGTTGTTCTACCATAGAGGCAGTCAAACTAGCATGGTGATAGTTGTTCTACCATAGTAACAGTCGGACTAGAATAACGATAGTTGGTCTATCATAGCACCACTCGAACTAGCATAGCGATAGTCGGTCTACAATAGTGGCAGTCAAACTAGTATAATGGTAGTCGCTATACCATAGCAACATTCGGACTAGCATAGCTTTAGTCGATCTACCATAGTAGCAGTGGGACTAGCATAGCGGTGGTCACTTTATCATAGTGGTTGTTAGATTAGCATAACGGTAGTTAAGTTAGCATAGTGGTAGTCATTCTGGCATAACGATAGTTAAATTAGCATATCGGTAATCAGTCTACAATAACAATAATCGGACTAGCATAACAATAGTCACTCTACCGTAATGGTAGTCAGACTAACATAGCAGTAGTCGATCTACCATGACGACAGAGTCTCTACCATAGTGGCAATCGGACTGACATAACGTTAGACGAATTAGCATAGTGACGGGCTAGCATATCGAAAGTCGCTTGACATAGCGTAAGCTGCCTTCACTTGTTGGTCATCGTAGTCCACTATTTATTTCACATAGCATTGATGAGAAATTGAAGCCAAGATTTCTAGAATATAACGTGATTGCATAAAAAAAATTGGTTTTCATAATATAATTCCACGTTAATATGGAATATAAACACATAATATCACTTTCTAATTTACTTAAATTTATGTTTTTGGGGGGTAAAACAAGACCGTTTTGTAATCCACTTAGGTTTGAATAGTACTCACTAGACACTTCAATTCGATACGATATGGTATGATAGTGAAATAAAAGACATTTTTTATGTTGTTGGTAATAAAATTTAGAATCATGCTACTTGTTTAGTTTTATTTACAGATATTGAGGTGGTATGTATTTTGATCTTTGATTTGAATTTCATTTATTCAAATCAAGTGTCAAATACATGTCATCTCAGTATCTATCAACAAATATGTAAAAGAATTTCTATACAAATAGCTTACTTGTAAAATTTAAGTAGAATCGAATTTGTCATTCCAATTTCATCTTAGAAACATGAGGTATATTTCAAACTCTTTTTATAACTACATTAAACTTTACTTAAATTCATGATAAATATTAAACATTTCCGTTGGCGGAAAACTAATAATTTCAATTCCACAAATGTTGTAATGACCCAGGTCTCATGCTCAACCATTCTCTTATATACCATCCGCTTTAGGGGTGAATCTTCCCTTTTATCCCTCACAGCTATCTCATTTCCCAGGATTTGAACCATTGACATCTTTCTTAAAAATGACTAAAGTTGAATCTTGGTACCAATTGAGCATGTAAAATGGAAGATTTCCTCCCAAAATGGACCATGCGTAAGAGAACGACCGAGCTTGAGATCTAAGTGGTTACAAAACAACGTGCATTTTTTATAACCGTTCTCTTACGTACTATTCGCTTTGGGATGGAATTTTACCTTTTACTTCTCATGGCTTTTGTTGCATTCTCCAGGATCCAAACCCTTTCCCTTTCCCTTAAAGAACTTAAGTTGAACTTGGGTATCAATTATGTAATTTGTCCAATCGGTACTAGGATTCAAATTAAGTCATTTTTAAGGGAAAGGCCGAAGATTCAAATCCTAAAAAGCACGACAGAAAGTCGTGAAGGGTAAGAGGGAAGATTCCTTCCAAAGTTGACAGTATGCAAGAAAACGACAGTGCACGAGGCCTCGATCGTTACAAATGTTGTGAACTACAATAGAATATTCACACAATAAAATTCAACAAGCTAACTTGTCATATATATAACAAGTTATAACAAAAAGTTTATATACACACATCTGAGCTAGGATTACGACCTAATCACTTGGGAACTAATCAACGTTATCTCTAATAAAAATAAAGTTAAAAGCAAGTATTCGAAATTTGTTGGAATAAAATGGTTCTTTTATATAGTTGTGAATTGGAAAAGTCTACAATTGGTGTGATAACTAGTTATGACTTTTTTTTTTTTAATGCAAAATGTACATATCGAATTGGAAAAGTCTACAATTGGTGTGATAACTAGTTATGACTTTTTTTTTTTTAATGCAAAATGTACATATCAAAAAGTCATGATATTTCAAATTGGATGTGAGTATTCGAAAAGGTACATAATAAAAAGTCATGACATTTTGATATAGTGCATTCTATACCACTACAAATGAAAAGATGTGATCTAATGGTCTGTATTAATTTATGTCAAAAGATGTAATTATTTCAAAAAGTCACTTAGAAACCTATAAATAGAGACATCTAGTTCCATATTTCCTACATCAAATCAATTCAAGTTATAATTGATTTCTAATCCTATCCCCTCGTCAAAAATTATGTTCTTTTTATTTTGCAAAAATAAAATTTTGTTCGAATTATGTTCATAAGTAAAAAATTTGTCTAAGCATTTTAGTTCATGTCTATTTCATTGGAGAAGAATATTATCAGTACTTTGATTCAACCGACAATGTTAATATAGTGCAATACTGACTTTGAAAGAAGTGTTGTATCTTGGAGATAGACGTACAACAATTCTATTGACATCAATTTTGGGGCGAAATATGTTTTAAAGAGATTTGCTACAGCATTCCTTGCTTCATCTTCATTTGTACTTTTTCTTTCTTTTGATTGTATAAGTTATTAATTTGATAACAATCTTAAGATGAATTTCTTTCTTCTATATTTCTTTTTATGTAATTTTGTTATTTGTTTTCAATATTATGATATTGCTCAAAATTTCCGTGATTATTATTTTATAGGAAAATGACTAGTTCAATTGAACAAATAGTAAAAGAATTGGACAATCTTCTGTGTCTAATCTGTTTATCATGCCACCAATATTTTTACAAAAAAAAAGTTAGAGAAATTCAACGGCATGAATTTCAAACATTGAAACAAAAGATAACACAGACGCCAAAATTATATTCTCAACAGGTTTGATAATCCATATTATAAAATGTGTATTATTCTTACAAGATGGCTAAGAAATTATGGGAATCACTTGATAAAAATACAATACAGAAGATGAAATAGTAAAAGAATTGGACAATCTTCTGTGTCTAATCTGTTTATCATGCCACCAATATTTTTACAAAAAAAAAGTTAGAGAAATTCAACGGCATGAATTTCAAACATTGAAACAAAAGATAACACAGACGCCAAAATTATATTCTCAACAGGTTTGATAATCCATATTATAAAATGTGTATTATTCTTACAAGATGGCTAAGAAATTATGGGAATCACTTGATAAAAATACAATACAGAAGATATCGGGATGAAAAAACTTATCATTAGTAACTTTCTGAATTTTAAAATGGTTGATTCAAAGACAATAATAAGTCAAATTCAAGAGATGTAAATAATTCTTCAAGATATTGAGGCCAAAGGCATGACATTGAGTGAATCTTTACAGGTTGTTGCTATGATTAAGAAAATACCTTCATTATGAAAATATTTTAAAAAATATCTCGAGCACAAGCGCAAAAAGATAACTATGGAGGATCAAATTGTTCACTTTACATTAAATAAGACAACATGTCTGCAGAATGGAAAAGTTCTATGCGAAACATAGAAGTAAAAGGCTAACATGATTGAAGATTTCAAGTTTAGAAGTAAAAAAGAGAAAAGAATCATGACTCGTTGAGAGACATGAAAAGAAAAATGGTGCAAAATGGTTCAAAGGAGACTGTTATAGTTGCGAAAAATCAGTATATCGAGCTAAAGATTGTCATGTGAAGAAAAATGGTGCAAGGAATAAGAAACCTACTTAGGTAAAAGTAATTGAAGTAGACAACATGTTGAGCGACATCACCGATATCAACCTATCTATATTTGTATTATTGTATATGAAGTTAACTTGTTATCAAATGCCAAGGATTGATTGGTAGATACAAGAGCTACTCTCCACATTTATTCAAACAGTGGTATATTCGTCGAGTACAAGAAGATGGATCAAGATGAACAT